TGCTCAAGGTCTAGCCTTTCACAGTGTAGACGCCAGCCCCTGTACCTTCTTCCATCTTGAATCCGTCTGTATACAAAGCCAAACCGTCCAGAGGAGGGCTATCAACGCATCAACTATATGTGTGTCTGGATTTTCTTGGAGAACAACATTAACCCTAAAGCTTGTTGGCAGATCCTTTTAGTTTGCATCGTATATGATACTAGGCAATGAATGTATTTTTGGTATTATTCCCGCTCCTGAGTCGTATTTCATACATTAAACCGATTTTTGTTAAATTCAAAAACATGTGTCCGAGGCCAATACATCAGCAACCTCCCAAACTTAATTTAATGGTGTCTAGTGTAGCACAACAAAATACTAAATAATAGAAAAATAATATGTATAGTAAACAATAACAACAGCAACAACTATTCTTAGAAACGTGCTGGACGAGGAGTCTATGACAACAGCAATCTTTCAGCACAACAACAACACCTATTACCCCTTTCACCTTCTATTGACGAGTTTTCATCACTAAGAATGCGTTAGCTAGGCTTATTTGTTACATGTCAGCCAGTCGGCGTCGTCAGTTTGCCAACCCTCGACTCTCGCTCCCCCTTTGAAATCATTATTATCATCAGTGGGTTTATTTTTACTGTCGGGTTGTGGTTGTTCTTTTGCTGTTGTTGTTGTTATATTAAACAATTAAATTTCTATTTGCTTATCTTGTTCAGTTAGGAAAAAAGTGTAAATAACAACAAGTACAATAACATAAAAATATAAAAAAAACAAGAAAAAACAATTCTACACTTTTGAAATCAATTTAAAACAAAGTTGATTCTACAATGTAACAAAAAAATTGTAGACATTTAGTAGGGAGTTTAGTTATAAAATTAGTAAAAAAAAAGTTCAATTTACAGCAAAAACTATAGAATGGATGACATATTTAGATAGCGTTTAACCGAACTACCTTCTCTACGAAAGAAATTTTTAAAAGTGATCACAAAAGAATACAAGATTTTCAATAGGAGGTCCTACTATTTTGCACTGGCATTGCTATTACTCCTAGGATGGTTGGTATTGCTGTCAAATGATAACCTAAAGTGTTAAATTACAGGTTCTTAGATTGAAAAACGGGACAAATCTCCATAATATAAGGTTGGGGAAAAAGAAACCCAATTTTTTATATATGAACTATAGGACTTTATTTAACATGCTTCGGAATGTCCGAATGCACCGTTTGTTGTATGATTTGTTGCCATTTTAAAGGTAACTTCATAATGCCTCTCTCATAGAAGTCCTGGTCTCTATTTGAAAAAAAAAAACTTTAGTAGTCGATTTTCAAAATCATCACTAGATAGCAAATATTGATCAATAAAGAAATTTTGCAATGCAAGAAAAAGATGATAATCGTATGGTGCCAAGTCCGGGCTGTATGGCGGATGCATTAAAACTTCCAACCAAGCTCCCGAAGTTTCTGGCGAGTCACTGTAGATGTGTGTTGCCTAGCGTTGCCTGGTCAATTGCTATCTTCAAACGGTCCAGTTGTTGACAGTAGAGATCAGAATTCAGCGTTTGTCCATATGGAAGCAACTCATAATAAATAATCCCCGTTCAGTCCCACCAAATGCATAGCAGAACCGTACTGACCATTAGTCCTGGTTTGGCCACCGTTTGAGGTGCATCACCGCTCTTTGACCACGATCGTTTTCGAACAGTGTTATCGTACGTGATCCATTTCTCATCTCCAGTTACCAAATGGGTCTATCTCATTCCGTTTGGAATGAGATAGACACCGCAGATGGAAATTCGATCCATCCTATTTTTGTCTGTTAATTGGTGTGGTACCAAAACATCGAGCTTATTTTTGAATCCAGCTTTGTGTAAATAGTTTAAAACAGTTTTATGGTCGATTTTAGCTCTTGGGCGATGTTACGACTGCTAACATTCCGGTCAACTCATTTCTCCCATTTTATCGACATTTTCATAATGGATTTATTTGCTACCCAATGAGCTCACAAAACCCCTAAATTATAGCCATTTGAATTGAAAAACATGTCCAAAATCCCCAAAATACCGAATATGCGGGTTACCGTTATTCAGGGGTTACGCTAAAATGTCGACGAATATTGAAAATGTTTGACTGGAATATTTGCTATCCAAATCAGAACCTAAAATAACAAATTGCAGTCAATTCGGTGGAAAAATGAGTCAAAAACCTACAAAATACAGAATATTGGCATCTGATTTCAAAAGACCCTTATGGTGGGAGGGTATAAAGAAATTGCCATGGCCTTTGATAATCCGAAAGCATTCCCCATTTTAGACTGTCCTATAGCTTCACCTATAATTTCAATAGTTCCACTGATGTAATAGCTAACAATTGAATTACGAATTGATAAGAAAATATCTCCTGATCCAGTTTAAATTAGATTACCTGCTACTTAACAAGTAAAATGCTATTAAATGAAAAAATGTGATAACCCCAGTGGCCCAGACTCTCAAAAAAAATTATCCATTTATAGAAATAAATCTGTAGATAGATTTTTAACAAATTATCGACGAAATTATAGGTTCTAATGTAACATTTTCTGTAGGTCCCGTACTACATCTAGTAGAGGTGAAAATCACGGTTACTTTACATCCTTCGTAGTAAGATGACCAGGAGAAAATAATAAGACACATCCATCGATTGTTCGACAGATATGAGAATAATATTTTATATGACGAAACAACCACAGATCAAATTACAAAACTCGCAATGGGATGTATGATTCGTAATTATACCCATATTGTCATAGTTATTTTTAGAATATTTGGAGGCTTTCGTAAGCAAAAGTCAGGACTCTAGTTCCTCATGTCGTAAAAAAGGAAGAAAGAATCCGGCACGCATCTGCATCAGTTTCAACAAAACGTCAATAACGTCATTCTAGTCTCAATTTGATACGTTGTGCAAAATTTCGTATCAATCGGACAAACATTAGGAGTTTGGTATACCATTTACCTAAAATCGGAAAATATATATGGAACTTGCCAGAGATTAATTTATATAAACTTGTATGGTATACAAAATTGTGTGCCAATCTGTCAAACTTTGTGTGTTTAGTGCAATAAAATCGGAAGAAAATATATATATAGAAGAAAATATATATATATATATATATATATATAGGGAGTATATCTAAATGTGAACCGATTTTCACGAAACTTAGCACGCTTCATTCAAGACTCAATTATATGTGCTTTGCCAAATTTCGTGAAAATCGAAAGATATGCAGGGACTTTGGTGCACCATTTACATTAAATCGAACGAAAATATATATGGGGGCTATATCTAAATCTGAACCGATTTTTACGGAACTTAGCACACGTCATTCTAGACACAATTCTATGAGCTATGCCAAATTTCGTGCAAATCGAAAGATATACCGGGACTTTAGTGCATCATTTACTTAAAATCGGACGAAACTATATATGGGGGCTATATCTAAATTCGAACCGATTTTTACGGAACTTCACACACATCATATTAGACTTAATTCAGAAGGCTATGCAAAATTTCGTGCAAATCGAAATAAATATAGGGGCATTGGTATACCATTTACATAGAATATGGCGAAAATATATATGGGGCGTTATCGAAATCATCATTCTACACTTAGTTCAGTATGCTATGCCAAATTTCGTGCAAATCGAAAAAAATATAGGGACTTTGGGGCTCTATTTACATTAAATCGGACGAAAATATATATTTCAATAGGGTTCATCCTTGGGCCAAACAAATAAACTATGCCAAATTTCATCCAATGCGGATCACAAATGCGACCTGTGCTTTATTTACAATTTAACATGGACAGACAGACGGACATGCTTAAATCGAATCAGCAAGTAATTCTATGCATATTCTCAAAAGGAACATGTGTCTATCTCGTTTCCTTTTGCCCGTTACAAACATATGCACAAAGACATAATACCCTGTACCACAGTGTGGTGAAGGGTATAAAAAACACGAAACGGATAACCCTGTAGATCGTTGTAAACAGACCCCTATAACAATATTATTGTAAACTTAAGACAAACAAGTGAAAATCGTTAAGTAAGAACTTTGGATATCCTCCATCATACGTATACTGACAGAAATGAAAATATAGGCAACATACCAAAAAGTGAACGAATTCGGTTGAAAATGCGCTAAAGAACCCCAAAATACCGAAAATTAAGGGTGTCATATATGGGGGCTACCCGAAAAAATGGTCCTATATTTATAATTTTTAGTGAAGAAAATTGGTACACAATAAGAACCCATTGTACCAAATTTCAGCGAATTCGGTTTAAAATCGCGCTTAAAAATACCCCCAAAATACCCGAAAAAGTGGACCGATATTTATAATTTGTAAAGGAGACATTTGGTACACAAAAAAAAAAGAATGCCAAAATATCGAAAATTGGGGATACCGTTATATTGGGGCTACCCAAAAAAGTGGACGGAAATTAATAATTTTTAAAATTTTTTGCATTTGGTACCCAAAAAGAACCCAATGCAATAAATTATAGTGAATTCGGTTGAAAAACGAACTCAAGAACCCCAAAATACCAAACATTGGGGTAACCTTATATGGGAGCTATGCCTAAACGTGGATCGTAATAGCCTATTTTCGAACTTGACCTGCCTGCGGACAAAAGACGACTCTATGCAAAATTTTGGCGAGTTATCTCAATTCCTTTAGAATATCGTGATTATAACAGACGGACATGACTAGGTCGTCTTAGAATTTTACCCTGATCAAGAATATACATATATACTTTATAGGATCGAAAATTAATATTTCGAATGACAAAATAAAAATATACCCTCCATACTATGTTGGAGGGCATAAAAAAGATCAGTGTCCGGGCCCCTAACTTTACTTATGTCAACCACAAGACCCTTTGGAACCTCACGCTGACGAAGCCTCTGTAACATCTGACATTATTCGCTTAAACATAAGCCAAAATAACTGCATCTGAATTTTGCAACTTACCAATGTACCTTCCTCACATGGTCCAGCTTCGAAGGATTTTCTTTCGAAAATTTCTAACAAATCGTGTAAATCCTTTTGTGTCACTTCGTGAATATTGGACATTGTGGTGTTTTTTGTGTTTTTGGTGTTGGAGGTGGTGTTGTTGCTGTCTGTGCTGATGATGATGCATTTAATTTATGCAACAACGTACAAAAACAAAATTTTCGCTTTTCGGCTATGCTGACGTTTTATTTGTGTCACTTCGTTAGCTCCGATGTTTGTTGTAGTTATTATTACGTTTTCTTTTTTATTATTATTTTTTTTATTATTTTGTGATAATTCTTGCTCCTCCGTTGGGTTATTGCTTATTTATGTTTTGTTGTCAGCAAGATATGTTTTGCTTTTTGATTCTTTAGAAAAGAAAATACATTTAAACCAAAACACACACACGCACACACATGCACCGGATGCACACGTACAACAACACAGTCTGCTTGCTGTGCTACGAGAACAACAACGGCAAATGCAACACACTTGTCGTGGTTTTCTTTTTGTTTGAACGTTGTTTGTTTTTTTTTTTGTTTTCTTGTTGTCGTTGTTGCTATTTTTGTTTTGTTTAATATACACTAAAAATTTTGATGTTTAATTAAAAATTGCTGATGTTTTTCGTGTGTTCTCTTTTAGCAATGTCAATGGGGAAAATATGTTGGTTGTTGTTATTCTTGTTTCTAGTTTGCCCCCAAAATAAAAATTAGCAGAGACGACGATTACGATAACCAACAACAACAGCAGCACACTATCTACTGGCATACAAATATAAATCAGCCACACAAAAATATTATTCGTATTGTTTATTGCGTATTT